TCTATCCAATGGAACAAGAATAAGACTGATTAAGTACAAGATAAGAAAAGAAAAGGTTTTTCGACTTTACCAAGTACTTTTTGGTTAATCGGTTTCACAACAATCACGTGGTAGATCAACAAGTCTTGTTTATCTGAACGAGTGAGGGAGATGCTGCTACAGAAGTAGCACCTGAAGATATGGCAGAAGTTCGGAACAGCTGGACTTACCATACAGAGATTTAACATGGAAGTAATGGCCGAAGTGAATTCACTGGGTAGGAAGATCCGGTTTCCCAAGCGGATAATTCACAAAATAGGTAATTTCCGGCTGGAGAAAAACACGTCGTGTTCAAGAAGCGCGGACATTTGACAGTGTCTGGTAAAAACACTCATCCTCATCCTTCTGCTCAATGCTCTATTTATTACACTTAGCTTCTCTCTTCATTGTTCATCCTTGTACTGGGCGTCTGAATCCTACACCCACTTTTTCGTCCAACATAGATATTTTAAGTTCATTAAACGTGTAGTTACAACAAACTACAATTATAAATTTTTATATTATTGGAAGTACATGATAGACATTTTTACACAGGACAATAATATTAGTTCACACAATATAAAAGTCAGCATTACGGGAATAGTTAGTTAGTGCACCAAAATAACTAACTATAATTACTACACAGAATATAAATGTATATATACATATTAATCACTCCCTAAGTACTCCACTTGCTTTCTTTTGCGTTGTTGTTGTTGTTTGTCTTCTTTTGTCTCTCACCATTTCAGCTTCCATTTAACTTTTTGAATGAGAACGAAGAATGTAGATATTTGCCCATTTACAATGACAAATGATCTGCAAACATTATTGGTCCCATAACTTACAATTCCCTCGTGAATTGCGCATTGCCTTCACCAACGACGCAACCTGGATTACAGTTGTGAAATATATCTTTATACCAATAAAAAAGTATTGATTTATAATACTTCACGAATGTAAATTATAACATAACTGATCTTGTCTGCAAAATAGCTTGCATTTCTTGAAAACACCCGTTTATAAGAAAATATAAACTACCATTATTATTAGTCTACCTTGAGTACTATTCACTTGTGATGTTACGAAGAAAATGCTGACAAAAGTATACAAGTGGATTACTTATTTGAAATTATTATCAAGAATAAGACTCGATGCCGTACACACCAAAGTTATATGGAGGAATTACTTCAAGCTTTATTTTTTTCCCAAGTATTTGTAATCCATCCAAAACATACTTGGGTTTTTTTTGTTAATGCGAAGACAATATTTCTATATTTCTTGATGTTCTCCATTGAATGACTAGTTATCATATTGTTCCCATAGACAAAATGACTGCAACCTTATAATTTTACCATGAACCAAATTTATGTAATTTAAATAATACTTATCCATGCCTGTACAATTGGTGTGTCCTACACAGGTAGGAAAAAATGTATTTTATTAAATTACTATTATTAAACATGTTTACTAATCGTATATGTAATTTATCATATTGATGATGCCTGTAAACTGGCGTCCCTCATGTACAAAATGAGAATATACTATTATTTATTTATTTATATTCTGCTTCAGAATCCTCTTCTGCTGTATCGACTTCCAGGCACCTCTATCAGGCCCTTCCCTAACCTACCCCATCTTCCTGCCTAAAATACCTATACGGGTTTTGTACAATGTCTCTTTCAGACATTTTCAGTGTTCTACGACGCCTGCTTCCTCGGTCGTGTTCCTTAAAACATCTAACTCTTTCCTGATTATTGCTCTGAAGGTATCCTTTTATAGCGTAATCCTTCAGTTTTTGGATGTTGAACTTGAACTGTGGACTATTTCCAGTCTATTTCAAGGTTACAAACAAATCATTGGAGACACGGAAGTCGTCAAATAGTTTTCCTCTCTTGTTCATTTCGCCACCATGAGTTCTTTTCCTGTGTTTACTCACCTCATTTTTTCAGTCATATTATCCATTAGAATTTCGACTGCGGCTTCGGACTGGGGTCTTCTCCAATACTACTTGCAGTGGGTTGTCTTCAGATGTCCTCCTCTTTCTCATCGTCTGCGTTGTTAGTAGGTGTGCAGCATTCTATAATAATATCCTTCCTTTCTTTCTTATCAGTTAAATCTTGGTCATATGTTCCTGAAGGAGAATGGTTACTACCGCGTGAGAGCCTTTAATTCTATCGATAACACTATGATATCTACATCCTCGTCGTTGCCGCCTCAGTGGCTGGAGTGTATTGTCGACTCTCCAAACAACAACTCGGAAATTCCACTTCCATTCCGTCTGCTCTCATAGATTTCTAACACTTCTGCACAGTATCTTTTCATTTCTGCAATTTGAGCAGCCTTGTTATTCATCCTGGAAGATGGTTTGGACATTGCATGCTTGCTATTGCTTCCATGCACATAGGACAAATCGGTCGACTGGTTTGTAATAGGTTTTCACCAGCCCATGGCATATTTCATCTAATATAGGAGTCTTCCCAACTCCAGGGGGAAACAGGTTTCTTTTTTCTGTGCCTGGAAGTTCCTAAGATGATAAAGTGGCTATTTCCGGGCTAAGGTCACTAACTACACACATATAACCTGTATTTTTCTGAGTTTAGGAGCAGATAATAAGGTAGGTGATTTTCGAAATTATATTATTGTAATTTGTTTCGCCCAAATACATCGAACATAACTCTCGTAATGATATCCTAGTGCTAGATATCTTGCAGGGTTTTCGCCTGTACCAAAACCCTCCTTAGTTCTTGAGCTGACACTCAGTACCTGTTTCATTCCGCAAACTCTGTTATACGGACTAGATCAGAGATGATGTTCACACACTAGTTAACGAGTGTGAAGATGAGGGTTGCTTACATTATGTAAATGAATATGGAGAGTTGCAAGAAAAAACTAACAAGTAACCTGACTGTTTTACGCCTCTAATTGAACCAGCAATGCTGAGATTTTGTGAGATCTTTCACACAGTGCTTCCGTTCCATTCTCTTAAGTCACTGTATGGGTACGCGTGAGTACTAATCGCGAAAGTAGTTGTCGATACGTAATTAGACGACACAGATGCATCAGCAAGCTACCTAGAGGAGCAGGAAATAGCCGCAACTCATCCGAAAAGGAATTTTATAGGAGAGGAGATGTGTTACTTAGCTTCTATGCAGTACATACAATTCCTTCATAGACACCCTTCAGTATAACAGCGGTATCTCCTCCTTAGTTGAAGACTGTTCATGCGGTTTTACTGCGCATGGCTGCTTGCAACGCCATCAGCGTTTGCCGCACATTCTTTGCAAATCACACGATAAAAGAACCTCGTGGCTTTATCATTCCCTTCAAGATCGCTTTGAACCGTTCACTATGAAAAGAACCAGTATCCCACACCTTTCCATAGTTCTTTACTTTTAATGAAAAACAATATACCCACTTCATTGAAAGGGTTCAACAGATTGGTTCGCAAACACTTTTCCATTCTGTAACCCGCTAAATATGTTGTTGTAATAGACTGAAAGCTTTGAAATATGGATATCCATCCTTTGGGTATACATGTCTGCATATACAGAAACTAAATTACTATGCAACTCATAAGTGTGAGGTATTTTGCATGGTTCGCATAACGTGGTTTTGTGAATAAAGACAAAATCAACTCTGGTGAATTCTTCAACCATAAGTTTAGCTTGCCCTGGGAAGGTTGCTCACATGTAAAATTAAACTGGAAAACGCCTCAGGTGTTATACATCTTGTAAAATGACATCATATTTCGTTGTGTCTGTTGCTCACGTTGACGTCTATCCGTTTATAATATTTTTCAAAGAGTAAGGCAACTAAACAGGAAACGTCTATCATGGCATTTGTGAGTCAGTATGCAGCGACTTCCTGTTTTCCTACATTGACTTGGTCACCCTGACTGTAAGTTAGACCTATCAAAGATAGTGTGTAACATGAAAGGCTTGCAGAGGAATATGTGGCGAGCCATATTCGATCATCTCGCAAATGGCCCTTACGTATAGAAGAGAAATTAATGACCTCATGAAAATAACTTGAATCACGCCACTTTATGCAAGCCTGAGGCAGTCTGACCACCAAAGAACACTTGTACATATGACTAAACAAGAATAATACACTGTCTGCAGTCTGTAAAGTTTTTGCTGAAGAACTCACTGGTCGTGGGGGAATTTTTCAAGTGCATGTTTGACGTAAAGGAAGAGACTGCTCAGGAGTAGACTGCGTGTTTGTTCACAAAATTTCTCAGCATTTAGGAAAGGAACTTGTGGATGATAGCTGTTACAGGGAGCTCTTTTGTTCTGGACCATATGATTTGCTATAGTCATTTCGCTGACGAAATTCGTGTCATTGATTTTGGTCCATATATTTCTCTGAAGGTGTTTGTAAATGGCAATTAATTTCCAGCTTCAGATTACATATTTTATTTATTCTACAGTAAATTAACAATAATATTGCGCAAGATACTTTATTCCTCTTTTTAGAGAATGATCACTACCGTATTATACGTCTGCATTTAATTCAGTTTAATCCTTGTGCTCTATTGGATCTGCTGTTTACAATGAGTTTAATTTAACCAAAAAATACAACGTTTATGCTATTTATATTATTCTTGCTAGCTTATGGGTAGGTAGTATAAGGTGACGATTGTGGTTCATTTATCTTTTTGCTTTCACTCGTTAGTTGTGACAATCGGTCCACTACTTCTGCAGTGAAATGAGACCAAGATATTCAGTGACGATCTTGCGAACACAAGCGAATTGTATATGTTGAGGGAATAATGTATTGTATCATATCATATGGATTCAACCAAATGAATTTGAGTTTGTAATTAGACTAATAGGTGTATACAAGGCTAAATGAAGTGCTTATTTTGTTTAAACTAACCAAATGCAAGATAAGTGTAATTTAATAAAAAGCACATATTTAAAATGGATTATTTGTTATCAATATGTATCATTTTGGAAAACTTATTATTGCCCTGTTAGCGAATGGATCTAAACCTTTATGAAAAGTCGCGTATTAAAAATCGTTCACGTGAGTGAGGCTGTATAGAATAACCTATATGTTATAATGTAGCAGAAATGTTTAGCACATTATATATGCTTCATAGTTAGTTAAGAAAGTAATGCGCACATTGCCTTCCTTGTTTATGCGGTCAATGCCACATGAACTGATTTAGCAGTGAATTAACTGATTTTATTGAAACTTTCAGTGTTTGTGTTAGTATTTATATTAGTTTTCTGCAAGTCATACACTATTTCCATATGTATTATCTTCTGAAATAACAGGAGGGCTTTTAAGAAATAGGAACATATTGGTTTCAATAATATTTGTTAATATTGGATGACAGTGCATTCCATATTTTCAGTGTCATGAGAGACTATTTTCCTTCATTCTTATGTGTATAAGTAAAACACGGGAACATTAGTTTACGTTTGCCGATTTAATTTACTTTTCAGAAAACTGTAATAATAATATCTGACTAAGTATTTGTCGTGGTTAATACTGCAATAGTGCGCATTTGTAATAGACGCAGATAGGAAAATATGAAAGAATATTATTTCGCTCGTTTCTTCGCAGGTAAACCATTGCAATATGTAAACGAAACGCTGAAAATTCCATGATGTAAATTGTTATTGTTGTGGAATAAAGTGATTATTATTATTAAAATTCTTAGAACTTAGAATTCCCCTACCTGTATTATTTGCACTGAAGACAATCCCATATATATTATTATTCGTTCTCTTATTATATTTCGTTTACGCAGAATTTTTTTATCACAAAACTTCTCACATTATGACTTACCAGTAAAAATGGATAATATATTTCCGAAATGGTTTAGTTACTGAGTTAGATTTCAGTACATCTTACCAAAACTTCTATGTAAGAAGAAGTTGGATTCAAAAATGTTTTTATCATTTATGTAAACTAGCCTTTAAATGTTTCCATGAGGTTTGTATCGAAATAACCTTCCAGGCATTTCAGGTAGGACCTACCAGGTGTATCGTTCGTAAAAATTCTAATATTTTCAGTCATAAAGTTGTTCCAGTGACGTGTAGGGTTTATTAATAAGCACATTTCTTCAAGTTGAATTCCAGAATCGTTCAGTAGCACTTAGAACGGCTTATAATATAGTCTTAAATGAATCCTCTTGAGTGTAAGCTTAAATTCACTTTGAGTAGGACACAGTCAGTTGCTGATACGAAGTACCCCGTCAGAGAAATCCACTGGTTCTTAGCTAGATACAGAGAAGAAAATTTCAGATATAGATGGTTTGGCTGTGATTCATGAACAAGTACTCAGTTCTAAAGGGAAGAAACAGGCCTTATTACCCGATAATGAAGTCTACGAATGAAATATAGGATAACAAAGTTAACTCAACCCTTAACGATCGATGTGAAAATGGAATTAAATCTCTTTCAGTTTTTCTTTATATGGGAAATTTGAGAATCCATTCATTGATTTATTCCCCTCTCTTTACGTTATTTCTAATATTTCTGATTCGTATCTGACACGTATTCCTACAGTCACCCGTGTATGGAGAATTTAGCCGTATGATGAGTATTTGCGAATGTTGCTCATACCAACATGCATAAAATAGCATTATCTTATAAAGCTGATGCTAAAATAATAAACTTTCGCTAATGTCTTGCAAAAATGGTTGGTTTATTAAAATCATTTTAACTTTTAGTACAGCCTATTTGTTTGTTTTTACAACGGTTAACAAAGAAGAGATCTGTCGCTTTCTTTCACACCTTTGATAGAGAAGCGTACTTAACATCCCTTGATTTATTATCCGCAAAAATTTACTAAGATATCGCGATAACGTTTGGTAACTGTGGTGTAACTTGCCATAATTTAGACTATAGTGAAGATTTCTTAGTCGAATATTTATCTGACACATGTAATGATGTTTCAACCGAAATTACAGTGACTATACTATTGACATTTATTGTAATTTTATCTTGAGTACACATGCCACATAAACTTGAAAATACTAACGTAAATTTTTCGTCAATCCAGTCCGAGTTAAATGCTGTTACTGAAATCATCCGTCAATATTTAAAGTTCACTTAATAATGCACTTTTTAAGTTTCGACTCTTCTCACTAGCTATAATCAGCCTGTAATCTACATCAGATTAGTAAAATAAGAACGCAGTTTTTAATGAGTAGAAGTAAGTATAGAGATTGTAATTTCATTAAATTGCAAAGAGCCAAATGTAGACACAAACATAATTATTCAAACTGAAGGAAACTAGATATTTATAATAGAATTTTGGTAAATTAATTACGGCAGGGAATTATTTGACCAGAAACATGAAGAAAGAAGATAAAGTGATAATACACATGAATGCACAGCTTATTGGGAAAATCAGAATGTTCCCGCTCTGCTCATTCCATTTAAATTTCAGGCTGCTGTTAGCTGTGAAGAAAAATTGAAATAAAAGATCACATTTGTTACTTTAAATATTGTCCTTCTTTCATTGACGAGACTGTTCAAAGGAATATGTTTGAAAATGCCATTATGTCCACACGCCAAATTTTATCAGTGCACTTTTCTTGCCGATGTGCAATGATAAAATGACGAGTGAATACTCAATAAGTTCTCTTCAAAAGATTCTTTTGATCCTGTCGACTCTCTTTCAAAGTATTATGAAAGACTTAAGAATTTACCTTTTTATCAAGGAAACTCTAATCCAGACCGTTAGTACTGCTCTTAATCACATATCCTGCAATCACCTTAAATTGCCTACTCCTAAAACATGTTTTATAAATTTATTGCCGGCTCATTTATGTATTTAATATGTTGAAATTCTGGCTTTTGATTTGATCACTAGACTAACCTCTTAAATAGCACATGTTGGCAACATCATTCTAATAGCAACAAGCATGAAGATGCGGTATGTAAAACGTCACATCAAAAAAGTATCTGAGGGAGAAGTTTTTCATCATCTTGCGTTTAAAGACACACTTTTAGTTGGGGAGAAAGTGACTCAAAAACAGGATCAATTTTTATGTAGCATATTAGCACAGGGAATTATTGATGTTTTTAGGGCTTATTTCTAATACACTACAAGCATATTTGATTAAATGTTTTTTAAGACAATTCAGAATGTCTGTACAGCTGGTACGATAGACAGTGAAGATAAAACATTGAATGAAACAGTTGCGGAAGGTCAATATCTTTCTCAGTTTTTAGGTCTCATTAGAAGATGGTTAAATGTAAAAACCTACCGCTTTCTCTGACCCTGAGAAAGGGATTTTTCTTAGAAATAGTAAATAGGTAGTATTGTTTTAAGATAACGACTAAGATCTCCATCCTTAAAACATACCATAAAGCCTTGATTGCCATTATTAAGAAAACCAAGCACCTGACCTGCACATATAATTGCATCCTACGTCGTATACTGAATTTCACATATGTGTGAGTGTACGCCAATTGGCAGGATCAGTCGCTGTTTGCAGCTACGGATGGAAGAAGCCTGCTTAAACGAGTCTGACCACAAATTTCCAAATCTCGATAAGTGTAGATGGTGGACTACCGGCATCTTAGGAGTGATGCAAAAACGGTTTTCAAAGTTCTGTACAAAAGCCTTCAGTTGCATATACTCAAATATGCTAAGGTATTAGCTAGTTTGTGTTGCGAATGCAAAGGTAATTTTTTTGTCACACCTAGTCTACCTTTCTAATCCATTATCTGATTATATTACATCTACACCTTAATTCCGTAGTATTCTGTTTGTTTTGACTGACCTTCTATCTCTTCACTGTCATTTAAATTGGCTTAACATGTAAATGTGTGGTCAGATTGTTAGGGATGCATTGCACAAATAAATTCCATTTCTTTTGACAAGCTTCATTTTTTAATAACGCCACCGGTTCCACGAAGTGTTAAATTTCCTTCGTTATTTTCAGATTCTAGTCGACTTATGATAAGTGGCAAGTAAATATTTTAATGTCTGAGTGTTTTCATGAATTTGTTCTGAAGTTCCTATTTCAGGAATGAAACTATAAATGACTGATATCATTTTCTTAAAATAAAATATTTTCGAAACAAATAAGCCTAAATTAAACAGATAATGGCATTCACGAATTTCTAAAGACATACACTCATAGCCAACTGAAGACCCTTTTACCGAGAATATAAAGTGAAAATTTAGTTACAAATGTGGCCACATTAGATTACATGCATACTATCCTCTAGAATTCCCGATTATCCACTAACAATGTGAAGCCATCGAAGAAAGTAGAGCAGCTGTTTATTCCATTTGGTTGAACTGTGAAGTGTATTGTATCTATCTTATATGAGCACCATTACAACGTTTAGACCGTATTATAAACGGCCACCTGACTCATCAGTCTATGACAATATATAACATGCAGCATAGACTTGGCCCAATTTAACACGTTTACTTCGTAATCTTAATTTCATGGATTCAATCTGTGGTGAGTTTCTGGGCGCGCATTGTCAGAAAGTCTCAGAAAATCATCAACTCACCTCTGGTTTTGGATTCTGCTTGAACCGATGTTAGTTCATGACAAAATCAACTCTGAAATTTGAAATCATTAGTGTTAGCACTACAGACGCCTATGTTCATTAATGTTATGACGAGAAAGTACTGCGATTTGTTTGAACTGCTGAGTCTGTGAATAAATGCGGACAGTAAATTTGAAAACTTTCGTGTTATCTATGTGAAAATTGAACATCTTAAAATATGAGGTTCATACTTAGAAGATTGCAGTAAATTGAGATGTTTTTTGAAGGTACGTTTTAGTTATTTAAGGAAGAAAATACACAACTGTATAACTTGATGAAGTAAAAAGTGATTTTTTGGAAAGAATTTCACATAGACGTTTGTCTGTGCAGCATTTTTGAAGCCGATAAACGGCTACTAAATTTTATGGTTATAAACGCTTTTATTATTCCATATCGAAGTTAGATTTTTCAGTTGTCTGGTTTGTGGCTTGATTTTCATCCCTCTCATTGAAATAAAAACAAAATGATATAACACTTTTGCAAAACATTATTTCT